CGTCGCAGAACGGACGCGTGCGTCTCTCTCTCTCTCTCTCTCTCTCTCTCTCTCTCTGTCCTTTTTCTTTATCTTGCCCCCGCATCGATATTCGCGTCTGGAAATTTGACGTCGCAGACAGAGCAGACGTGTACGCGTAGCCGTTGGCGCAGCTTTTCCTTCTCCGTCGTTCGTTTTTTCGCCGAGCGAGCATCCATCTCCCTAATCTAGCACACGACACACAACAATACACACACATACACAGGCGGGGTGAGCTGGCTCTCGCTCGGCCGAGTCGCGCGCGGCGAACATCACGCAAGCGCGGCATTATACCGGGACGATCAAGAACCGACGGAACACTTATCCCCGCAAACGCTTATTGATTGTGACGCGCGCCTAGGTCGCGCGTCTCGCTCTCGCTCTGCCTGTCCATCTACCTTTCGCCGCCGACGACTCCCCCCCCCCTTCTCATTCCCTGCCTCGTCGGTTTTCTCACTCTCTCGGTTCGCACGTGCACGAGCGCGTCGATTTCTGCCGGTGTAATCTCGCGATTCCGACTGAGAATCGGCGGTTTTCATAGATAGTTACCTTCCACCCTCCCCCCGCTCCCGCTCTCGCTCTCGTCAGGTAAGAGAGCGGGACGAGAGAAGGAGAACCGCCATGTATCGCGAGGATGAGATTTAATGGGCGCGCATTATGAGTGTCACGACGAGTGGTTTAACATTCGCGTCACGCGATCGCCGGCGTCTCTCGCGTGCGTGCGACGGAAAAGGACAGGACGACAGGACGAAATTCTATGCGCGAGCAGAGCCCGTCGATCCTCCTGAGACCGCGGACTCTTTCTTCTCGGAGAAACCTCCAAGCCGCTCTCTCGTTCCCCCCTCTTGCCAGGGACGAGCGCTAACCTAACAATGGGAAATAACCATGACGCGGATTTCCCTACCGCGTCGCGACAGCTGATGTCACCGCCGTGTCTCATCGCGCTGTGACTAATAAGGACACTCCGAGCTGCCGACCTGAATCTTCCACTCGCGACGGTACTCCCCGGAGTTGGCGTCGACAGGACACAGCTGGTGCGCGAGCAATGTTCTCGAGCCGCCCCCGCCGAGTTAGAACACGTCGTAACGTTAAAAAAAAAAAAAAAAGAAAAAAGTAACGTTGCGAGATGAAACGCTTCATCGTCCTTCGGCGGCGCGTGGCGCAAAGTTTGCGCGGAAAACGATCGCGACATCGAGCGGCCGCGCGCGCGCGCGCGGCCGGGATGAATCGCGCCGAGAGACGGAGATACGGAGGAGGGAAGAGAGAAAGGGAGGGGGAGCTCTTCCCGCCAGGACGCCTTCGCTGTGACCTGGTTCCGGGGTAAGCATCGCGCGGCAAGCTACCGCTTGCGCGGTAGCTCAGCGCGCGCGCGCGCGGAGGGGGGTTGCCCGCGCGACTAAGAAGCCCGGGGTAAATTAACAATCGTTAACGTACGTAGATATCGGTAAGCGTCATTTTCACACCCCCCCCCCGACGAGCTGCTCACACCCCGGGCGCGCTGCGCGCTCCTACAGCTGCTGCTCTCGCTCGCTTCCTCCCTCCCGCTCCACTCCCCCACAGCGCGCGCCACATCGAGCCGCCCGTTCGCGCCCTCCCTCTGCCCTCGCGGTGTCATCCAGTTAGCCCGGAGAGGAGCTTCTGTGCGGGTGGTCGCGGACGCGCTCGTGGAAAGGCTGCGTCGGTGCGCATGCGCGCCGAGTATAGACCCGCGACGCGTTCCGCCGCGCTCTCTGTGTGTGTGGATACGCGCGCGCGCGGCCTGCTCTATGCCTTACGTCCTACGCGGCGTACGTGTCGTGTACACACACACACACACACACACACACAGAGACAGACACACATACGCACGATACACGTCGTGTTGTGTATATGCACACATGTGTGTTGCGATTACTGCCCATTAAATTATCTTGTATACGTCGCTCGTGCGTATTCGCTCTCGCGCACGACCCCTCCCTCCCACGCAGGCTCCCCCGCGCCCCTGGCCGTCCTTGCTCCCCACCCCTCCGCCCGCGTGTATACAACGAGCGCGCGCACGAAAGCACTCGCGCTCGTTCTCGCTCGCGGCTCCCAGCCAAGCCAGCCAGCCACCGCCGCCGCCGCCGCCGCCGCTGCCGCGATTCGCATGTGCGCGCCGCACCGCTCCCCTATCTATCTATCTCTCTATATCCCTCTCCGGCTCGATAGCCCGTCGCTGCTGTGCTCTCGCAGGCAGGAGCACAGCACGTCAATAACCCGTTACCGCCTTGGCACTGCCGCGGCACTGCTCTATGTGTGTGTGTGTGTGTGTGTGTGTCTCGGGGTGATATCGCGCACACTTTAGCGGTTTTGCACGCAGGCACACACACGACAAACATCTCGCAGCACGCGGGTCGCGCCGCGAAGATACGCTGCCGCGGATGTCATGAGCGCAGAGGGTGAGGGGTGAGGGCAGTCGCCACAACTCTACCTACTGCGCTCCTCCTTCTCCTCCTCTTGTGCCGGGGTGGCGAGAGATGCCTCGATTGAGAAATGCCCCCGTTTTACGATTAGCGATCGCGAGCGAGCGAACATCGCGCTCCATCGATCGAAGGCGTCTCTCTCTCTCTCTCTCTCTCCCCCCCTCTCTCCCTCCTTCCTCTCGTCCTCTTTCTCTCGTAACGGCTGGTTACCATCGCCTATGCGCTCCCCGTTTCCGCCGTCGCTAACCATTATCGCTATCGGTAATTATTACGGATAATCCGCCGATCGGCGGATCACGGCGAGAACGTTCGTGGCTCGTCGGCTCGTCTCGCCTGCGGTCGTGCGAAATTCGAATATCACTGTCCTGATAGAAGCGAGAGCGAGAGCGAGAGAGACAGAGAGAGAGAGAGGAGAGAGAGAGAGAGAGAGAGAGGCGAGAAAGGATAAAGGGATGGGAGGGGGAGTGCAGGAGAGGCGAACTATTCGCGGAGTGTAATCGAACCGCGCTATTTTTACGCGGTGTTGCTGGGACGACGCGGAACGCGGGCGAAAAATTCTGACAGGCGGAAATTGCAAACGCGGTGAATTATTGAACCGTGACACGTCGCGCGTACAAACAGAGAGAAAGGCGATGGCGGGACAGAAAGAGAGAAAGAGATAAACAGAGAGAGAGAGAGGGGGGGAGGGGGAGGACGAACACTGCGCGTAAGCGATGCAGCGGTAAAGAACGACGAGGAGGGGCACAATGGGCGACGGAAAACGCATTTGAAAGTCGCTCGACCGATGCGTGCGTATGCACATGCGGATTGTATCGGGACGCGCATCGGCATAAATTGAGCGAGAATGGTCCGTTGTCGCGTTCCTTGCGACGCCGGGCGCAAATTTCGCGCTAAAGCGCGATACAGCAAGACGATGTCAGGTCTGTTGCGAAATCGGTCTCGGCAATCTTGGTTTTAGTTGTAAGGTTGGTAGGCCTTAAGCCCGTATCAGACTATGGATTGGGATTGAGAGATTGGATTGAAAGTTGACCAATTGGAAAAAAGAAAATAATCTCAAAAATATAATAAACTTAGCCCTGATTGGTTAAATTTCAATCCAATAAATCTCAATGCCAATCCGTAGTCTGATACGGGCTTTAAACTAACTTGGATACGTTCCGTAACTGATCAGCTGATTGATCATCAAGATAAGCAATAAAAAATAATATTGCAAAATTAATAGCTGAAGCCAAGTTCGCAAATAGAAATAGCACACGGTTGTGTGAACGTCCAAGCGCGATCAGCTGGCCAATTGCGGAACGTATCTACGTACTCGTAATACCCATTTCTATCAACTTTGCGTAATTTAATTGATTGGTTATTACGACAAAATTGACCAATCCACATCTGTCGTTAATCGGAATTGCGACAAATGCGACCGGGCAATTCCGACGGAATAACTAGTCGGATAAGTTCACTGCAATTGGTGAAAATGGATGTAGGTTAGTTCAAGAGTGAAACTAAAGTTTCCGAGAAACCGATATCGGAACAGACCTATAATGTTCCCAAAGGCCCCTACGAGCCGTCGAGCATAACTTTTTCTAGCACATTTCTTTAAATATATAAGAACCGTAAGTATAAAATATTAGCCTCAGCAATTAAGCAGAAGCCGCGAGAGTTTAACGAGTTTTGCTAACCATTGGACACTTTTCCACTTCCACATCAACATTTCAAGAATTTCAGTGACGCTTCTGTGAAAGTACAAAAATTATTGAACAAATAAAGTTGACAATTCAAACGATGTAACCTAACCTAACTAAACCAAGCTCGAGCCTAACCAAGCTGGAATCTAAAAAGCCTACAACGTACTTGAACATAAAGGATACGATGATCTTAGAGTGCACCGTAACATCAAATTTATCTGCAAAGAAACCGGCGCTAACGTCCAGATGATCGAATCTCGGCGGAGACCTTTACGATTCAGGTTGTGGGAAGCCAATGTACCATCAGAATATCTCGACTATCATCTTTGCAAGTGTCTTTGGCAACAAAGAGTGCGTCAAATGAACCTTCATCAGTCTCAGAATTGACTAAAGCATTTACACAAATTTATCCCAACGAACCTTGAAGTGGACTTATCGCTAAGAAGCAGAACCTCTGAAACTCGGCTTTTAACGACCAAGGCATTAGTAAACTAATAAACAACTATCGAGGCCAATATTTTATACTTAGCATTCCCATGCCCCCATACAGGTGTACTCCAAAAATTTCAGCTCGCTAGCTCAAGGGAGAGAGGGCGGGGGGGCTCGGAATAGCCCAATAAGGAACCGAGTGATCGTTTTCCGCGACTTGACGGACACGAGACAGTCGAGTCGAGACGATAACGTATGCGAATATCGACGACGCGTCTCTCTGGCGCGCATAAATAATTCATCAGCCGTCGAAATATGTTTAGACAGGTAAGAAATTTCCATAAACGCGCGGAAAGGAAAGAACGAACGGCGAGATGAGTGGCAAGATCATCGCGCGCTCGATGCACGCAAACAACTGCCAGGGACTCACCTGCGATGTTGTGCTGATGGTGATTATAGGTAAGAGGAACCGAGTGTAATGCCCTGGCCGACCATTTCCGGTGTCTGGAGTCCTCGTCGTCGTCGTCGGCCTGCTGACCATCCTCGCCTAAGAAGTGGACTTTCTCGTACCTGTCCAGATACCTGGAACAATAGCAGTCGTGGTTGACGTTTCAGCGATTCTTGCTTCGAGCAGGCGCTTATCTCGACCTTGCATCGTCAAGCTCGCAGGTCCCTCCTCCCTTTTTCGTCCACGTCCCTAGGCCACACGCTCGACTGAACTGTCAATGTCGCGTGCGAACATCGTGGAGCGGGGGGGGGGGGATATATCGGTCCGCATGAGCTCGACGGGGCCCGTCAGCGCGAAAGCAGCAGGGACGAAAAGTCAGCCGCGCGAAACTCACCCCAGCCACGGCAATAACCTCGAGATCGGCAGCGACTCGGCGGCACGTCGAGCGCGCCGAGAAAACCGGTTGATCGGCAGCGACGGCGAGTCACCACGTGGCGCGAGTGCCTCTACCTGAAGAGCGCGCGGCTCGCAACGACGTTCTACCGTCGACGGCACTACGACCTCCGAAGGAAGTCACGACGTCACTGAACTCCGCAGGGGCGACCGAGAAACCAACCAACCAACCAACCAACCGACCGACCGACCGACCGACCGACCGACCGCCCGGTGAAGGTGCGACGAACTCGCGCGACGTTCGCGCAAACAGGGTTGCTGCGAGAGAGGGAGAGACAGAGAGAGGGAGAGGAAATCATGAGACGATGGGGAAGAGAGAGAGAGAGAGAGCGAGAGAGAGAGAGAGAGAGCGAGAGAGAGAGAGAGAGAGAGAGAGAGAGAGAGAGAGAGAGAGAGACAGAGGACATCGAGTCGTGGGTGGGCGAAAGAAAGTGGTGGGGGTAGGTGTAGTGGATCCATTCATGCAACCGACGTACAGTGCGGAAGGTGCAGGCGGTGGAGCAAGCAGCCAGAGCCTGATTGGCCGTTGGCGGGTGCGGACTGAACACTTTGACTACCGCCGCGGCGACGACCGCGTGCCTAGCCACGCGTGTGTCACGCGCCGCGCGTCGTGTTGCCGCCGGTGTCATCGTTGATCCACCAGCGCGCTGCTGCCGACGTGGTGCGCGCGCGTCCGGGTCCCAGAAGGGAAGGCTCTCCGACCGCGAAGCGGCCGAGGCTCTCGGCTAATGTCATTCATCGTATCTCAATGTGTCGCTCTTGGGGAGAAATATCTTCCTCATCGCGGGCGATACCCCCTGCTCGGGCGCGGGGTCGAATGGGGTGCACACGTGAAGACACTCAAGAGCGGTACTCAGGTGGAGGGTACTTGGGGGGGAGGGAGTGAGTACTCGGGAAATCGCGGACTTGGTCGAGTAGTCCGGAAGGGACCAGTCGCGACGTCGGTTCTCGTCTGGCCCGAGATGATCAGGCCAGATGTCGCCATCAGACCCAAGGGTCCTTCCAGCGGGCTTCAGTCGAGTCTAAGAACGTTGCGACTTGGACTCGCACTGACTCCCGCCGGCCATAACCCGCGATACAATTTGCGCAATGATCTGACTTAACAACGATAGCCTAGCCTAGCCTAGCCTCACGCGCACCATCGGGAAGAAAGCGCAAGAGAGCTCGCGCGATGGCGTGAGTCTGTCAGGAGAGTGTTGGCGCCGAAAAATCACGGCCGATAACGCCGCCGCGGAAGGCAGACGCAAGAGAGAGACGCGGCGGCGGCGGCGGCGGCGGCACTCGATGGCGTGTCCGCGCTTGGCAGCAAGGCGCGCGCTAACAAGATTGCAGGGCTCACTCCGAGGAGGGAGAGGGAGACAGAGAGCCGGAGAGCGACAGAGAGCGGGGGGAGGAAAGCGAGACTCAGGAACCACGTGGGTCTCGTAGAGCGAGGCCGGGGCATGAATGAACGCGAACGTACGTAGTACGCGATACGGAAAATGGTGGTGGGGCGTAGGGACCAATGCCGATACGCGGTGTTGGCCGTGCGGCAAAACGTTGCTACTCCCTGCTTCTTGCAGACGCTCGCGGACTGCCAGACGCAATGGAACATAGTGGCAAGCGCGAGCGAGCGGCCGCTCGCTGGCCGGGAAATCTCGACGGACGCCTCTTGCGGCGCGCGCACGCCGATCGCCGGCCGATCCTCCTTCAGTCACCACCAGTGCGCGAACGCGCCATCTCCGCGTCCGTCAAGTCCGTAAGCTACCTCAGGAGACACTCGTTTCCCGCTCTGTCGACTACCTGCACGGCATCAGCCTGCTCTGCTGCTGGCTCTCTGTTCCCGGACGAGTCTCGGCTCGAAGTTAGGAAAATTGTTGAGTATTGGTTGTGGGTGATGGGGAGGGGGAGAGGGGGCGGGGAAGTAGTCTTGGATGGTGCTAAAGATCGCCTATGCCGCACTTGGGATCGGTTGTTCCAACTTCTCGATAAGTTAACTGATATGATTTGACTTGGCAAGTTAAATCATATGTTTGTCTTTGTTTTGCCTTCAACTTAGACAAAGGCAGACATATGATGACTTAACTGTCAGTTAACTTACCAAGAAGTTGGAACAACCGACCCTTAGAGCTGCGATTGCAGACCTCCGATACCTCATAGGGGTTCGTTGAAAGTTCGCTTGAGGCGCAACCGAAGGCTCCCAAGAGCGAGACGACCGTTGGACCTCTAATTTAGCGAGCGTGACGACTCCACGAAATGACGACTCCGCCTGACTAATTACGCACCATGCGTGTACGCGGGGCATGGCTTGTAAGGAAGGCATGGACGCGCTTGCCAAATTGTTGCCGCTTGCCGGCGCTGACGCGAAGCTGGATTCGCGAAAATAACTCCGTTCGTTCGGCGTGTATCCGATTGTCATGCGGCTCGTTGTGACAGTCTGAGCGTGGCCGAGTTTCCAAGAGGATCGGGGGGTGATTCCAGTGTCCGGTTCAGTTTCCCGTTGAAGGATTCTCCTCGCGCGATTATTCTCGGCTGGTCGTCGCGAGGTCGAACTTACCGAAGGTAGATCTGCTTGAGGCCGACCCCGCTGTTGATGCAACCGTTGGGAAGGTGGAATTGCTCGCATAAAGCCGCCCACTCATTTCTGGTGTTGACCTGCAACGAGAAAAGCCGGAGGGGAACGTGAGAAATTGGCCAGGCGTGTCGCGATAAAATCCTATTGGCAATATTCGACGAAGCCGTCCGAACTCGCCCCGCGATAGTCATTTATAGCGCGCGCTCGCGCACACTTTGGCGCTCTGTGCGTTATTTTAAGCCGCGGCTCGCCACTTCGACGCGCGTATCAAGAATAATTCAAGGAAATCCGCGTTCACTTTTACCGTGCCAAGATTTTCGCGCGACCCGATTTTCCTCCACACGTCGATCTCTCTCTTTTTTTTTCTCTCTCTCTCTCTCTCTCTCTCTCTCCCCCCCCCGCCCCTTGAGATCGCACAGGGAATGGCGGATCCGAGTTGTTGTCCCCTTTTCTCAATTATATAATAATATTATATAATTATATCTTTTAGCTATATAATTTTTTATCATACATATTTTTTTATACTTTTATTATATATTATCATATTTATTTATATATTATATTATTATATTTTTATCATATATTATTTATTACTTTATTATTATATTTTATTATACTTTATTTATTATATATTTTTTAATTAACTCGCTGATCTACACGAGCGCTATTAAATCGCACTTCAGCATGTTAATTAAAAAAATGTATATAATTATTGCAATAAAAAAGTTAAAAATATGTAATAAAAAAGTTATATAACTTGAAGAAATATAATTAATATTATTATGCAATTAAAATTTTAATTACATAGTAATAGCAGTAAAAGTCTTTAAGTATTGGTTAGGTTATTAAACGGAGTTCCTCTCGTCATCTCGTCGGCGACGACGTGCCTCGCCGTCGAAGAGACACCTCGGAGGATCGGCCGACTGGAGCGATAAAGCGACCGGGCGATAAGCGGCGACGACGACGACGAGTTTGCGCGGCCGGCTGAGAGAATAAACGAGCCGCGTTGTCCTCGTCCTCGGCGGATGCGCCGCGTGCGCGCCCCGGAAGTCCCGACCTTAATTACAACAACAGATTCTTCCGCTAATTCGCGAGAGCGATCTCTCCCGCCGCGCGCGCGCTCGGATTTCCTCGAGGGAGACACGCGATTCCGTCGCTCAGAGATCTTCGCGCTCTGGAGCCGCGAGATCGTGGTTCGCGACGGGAGCGCGAATCGACATTCCGCGGCGGAAATAAATGTTTATTGCGCCCCGCGCGCGTTTATTTCGGTGAATTACGCGCGCGCGGCAGGAATCCGCCGCCGACGCCGCCGCCGCCGTCGGCCGCCGCCGCTACGCGATCGTAAATCAGATTTATGCGGCGAACACGTTTGTCCGAGTGGGACACAATACTGAGCGGAATAAGTGCGCGGCATTGTTCCGGCTAAATGTGCACGCACACGTCGCGCGGCGCACTTTGATCCTTAGTCATGCGCGGCCGCGATGATCGCGTCATTCCCGAGCGAGCGCGAGAAGCTGCCGGGAAGACACGAGTATACGGAATTCTAAATAAAATTACTCGCGTGTCACGTTATCCTGCAACGCGGTGAGTCTGATAAGAGATAAACGCAGCTGTTTGTCGCTCCGGAGATCCGCCGACACTGAAACGCGAACAATCCGGCTCGCTTCACAACAGGTGCACAGACTAGGAATGGGCGATTTTTATCGATTAACCCTTACTGTACGCCAAAGATGTGCGAATCAAGAATTTTTATATCGAATCGAATCGAATCTAATTTTTTAATTCGAATTCGAATCGAATCATTAAAAAATTTAACATAACTTTTAAACATGCACATAATGATGGAAGATTTTAATATGAAAGGGGACTATTGATATTGTAATATCATCTTGAAGTAAAATATATATTTAAATATTTAAAGTAATTTATAATTAAGTTATTAATTATATACGTTAAGTTAATTATAAACATACAGGCCCAGATGGCCCGTTTTGTAGTTGGTGCGCACAAACGCTAATGTATTTGATTCGTATTCGAATCTTCGCGATCCGAAGTTTTCGAATTATTCGGACTCGAATCACATAGGGATTCGGATTCGAATCGAATCGAATTACATTAGATTCGATTCGAATTCGAATAGTTCGCACATTTCTACTGTACACCTGGAGTCCAGTGGACCCCAACAAACCGTTAAACATCAAAAGTAATTTTTTATATCGATAATAATGAATATTGGAAATTTTTTGGAGTTTGATTTTTTCAAAAAATTCCCTACTTCGTATGTCAAAATAAATATCTTTTTTTAAGCGCACGCGCATACACACATCCAAACCAATTTTTTCTTGAAAATATAGCATTTGAAGAATACAACCCCGAAGGAATTATTTAAAAATACCAAAAATTATATGAGATATGATTTTTTTTTGTAAAAAATATCTTTCTTCGCGTTTTTTTCCTTTACCGATTTTTTTTCATTATGTTCGTATTAAAATTATCCAAAAAAAGCTATTGCCTCTTATTTTAGAAGGTTCCAGAAATATCTTCAATTTTTTTCGAAATATGCAATAAAATAAGCATAGTGGCAGTTTTAATCGTTGGGGACCCCCTGTGTATCATATTAAATTATTCGGAGGTACAATAAGGTTTAACCGAAAGAACCGATAGTTTGTTTTCAATTGAGGGGACTCGAGGCTCAGATTGCTGAAAACTCGTACTTGTTTTTGATAATATTTTGTGACGAACTGAACAAATGTGCAAGAATGAAAATTTTAGATATATTTATACGACATATGAAGATTAGAAAAATTTTGTTTATTCGCAAATACTCATACAAATATACGTCCACTTAAATTTTAAACGCGTTTTTCTCGAAATTCTATTCTTCAACTTTTCGCAGTGATTTCTCCGAAACTGAGCTTCGTATCGATTTGAAATTTTAAAGCAACAATATTTGTTTATCTGGCTCTCAGGTGAATCATGGACAACTCCGTCAAAATATTTCATTTCGAGATATTAATTTTTTTATTGTTGAAGAATTGAAAAATTTTAATTTTTTCCTAATAGCTGCCATTTTGTTAATTTTGTTCGATTTTTTTTTAGTGGTTCACCGGATAATGATAAGCCCTCTCAAGATTTCTAGCTCTGAGAAAATTCGCTCTGATCGAACTACCGAGAGCCGAGATATTACTGCAAAAATGACAACTTGAAGAAAAAAGGAGAGCATATTTCAGTTATATATATATATATATATATATATATATATGAGTATTTATTAATAAACAATATTTTTCTACTCTTCATATGTTGTATAAATATACTTAAAATTTTCGTTTTTGCGCATTTATTCAATTCGTCACAAAATATTATCAAAAACAAGCACGATTTTTCAACAATTTGGCCCTCCAGTCCCCTTAATCAATGTTTTCAGATGATTTTATTTTTACTCCGTTAATCGATATTTGATGATTTTTTCTCAACATCGGCAACCGATTTTTATTTTTTCTTAAATAGATGATTTTTGTAACATAGTTTTTCAGATATGGTAAACGAAATTCACATAAACATTAAGTTCAAATCTATAATAGGTATAGTAAACTTTAAGTCTTAAGAAGTTGGCTAATCACAGTCAATTATTCTTGTAAAAGTATGTTGAGATTGATTAATTTTTTAAGGTTTAAAGTTTATTACTACATCTATCGTACAGTCATGGACAATAGGGTTGTTCTGTTTTTAATTGATGAGTTTCGGAACGTTGCCGAATGACTCAATGAGAACACTTATCTTCCCAAACTTAGTTCTCATCACGTGGAAAATACATCAAATGAGATGCCGAGTTAAAGGTCTCGTACACTGATGCAATTAGCGTGATGGACAATAAGCGATACCTAATGAGTCCGGTTTTAAAGAAAAAGTGAAAGCTTTTTCTTCTTAAAACAGAACTTTCATTAGATATCGCTCATAGCACGTCGCCAGTCGCATCCAGTGTGCAAGATCCTTTAAGAAGATTTCTAGTAATACTGAGAATATTGCGGACGTCATTCTATCTTTGTTTAACATTCAGTGAAAAATACGGATTGAATAACGCCGGCTACATCTGTTGCGAATTTAAGAACGCATTCAACATGTAAACAAGAAGAGCATCCGAGTGATGTTTCCGAACACACCCCTAGCAGTGTTTAATCTGGTGCTAACCAATTTAAATATTTACTTTGCAAATTTAATCGATTAAACGGTAAACCGATTTTTTTTTTTTTTTTTTAGAAAATAATCGATGTCGTTTCAATTTTTCTTTTATTAATCGATGTTTTAAACATCGATGTATTTTCGAACATCGCCCATCCCTAGTGCAGACTGTCTTTAGCAGTCCGTCGTGAGTCTCATAACTTTCTAACCTAACCTAACCTAACCCTTTGGCGAGAAGCATTTTTCATGCCGCCTCAACAGCTAGAAGAAGAAGCTGCAAGAAGTGTGAGCTTGAAGAGCTGAAGGACTGCGCGACTGCTCTCGCAGGCAGTAGCGCTTCTTGGCTTCGAAAATTGACTCACGCTTCTGAGGTCAGGGCGAAAAGTCAAAGGGCTTTCTACATCTACTGCGCATCGGAACTGACGGGCAGATAAACTTGAGCGATATAAGACGTAAGCAGTAAGCAAATTAACCAATCATAGTCGAATATCTGTGGGTCGTAAAACGAATAATCAATTCTGATCAGTCCATTTCTCTGCTTACGTTGCAACCGCTGATGTTTGTCTGTGTATCCGAGAGCGTGTAGGCCATAGAAAAACGTAAGCAGCAAGCGGTAAACAGATGAAGCAATCGTACGGAAAATATAAGTGATCATCATCGTTTACGTTTCACCTATGACTGGCTACATCCAGCGGAAAAAGCTGTTTCGCAACTGTCGTAAAATTCCCTTTTGTTGTGTACCCTTGGACTCAGCTAGATTTCAGAGCACACGCCAGATTCGCGAATTTGACGACAGTTGTAGTAAAGCAGCTTCTTCTGCTGAAGGCAAGCTTTGCTTCATTCGTTTATTGCTTCCGTTTCTCCACGTGCCCATCCGCTTGGCCGTTGGTGACGAAGT